GAATTACAGAATAAAAACAAATAAAAACAGGTATCTAGATTCAAACTTTTCTTTAAAAATGTGGATAAATGGTCTTTGGAGACTAGAGTGCTTTGATTGTTCTATAGCCGAACTGATTACGTGCCATCAAGTCAGCATCAACTCTTAGATTTTCTCCATGATGATGTTTCTAACCTGGTCCTCCAGGTCTTCCAACAGAAGCCCAATTAGAGCCTAAGGTATGTTACAGTAGTCTTGCCAAAATGTGCAAAAGAAATATCTGTTGATTCATATACAGATAGTCCTTGGGTTAGGATGGCAATTGGGACTGGGATTGCTGTTGCTAAGTGATGCGGTCGTAAAGCACAATATCACGTGACCACATTGCTTAGCAATGACAATCCTAGCAGTTCCAGTTGCCATCATACCTCCAACATGCACGCGTTTAGTGGGAAGCAGTGGGAGTCCCAAGTAAGGAGCATAGGAGGGTGGGGGAGAGGAGGTCTGGCACAGTCCATACACAGGTGAAGGGAGGCCAGAGGAAGCAGGGTGCTGTGCAAGCATAAGGAGGTGGGGGGACTTACAGAAGCGACTTGCATCCTTCCCTACTGGCTTCCCCATTGATTTTGCTTGTGGGAAGCTGGCAGGGAAGGTCACAAATGGCGATCACATGACTGCAACCATCGTGCCAGCTGGTCATCAAGCACCTAAATCGCAATCACGATTACAGGGGGTGATGCAATGTCTGGAACTTTGAGGACCGGTTATAAGCACCAATTGTTCAGTGCCATTGCAACTTTGAACAGTCACTGAATGAATGGTTGGTGAGGATTACCTGTATGGCAAAGCTTTGGCCCTCCAATCATTGCTAAACTACAATTCGCATTGGCTTTGCTGGCTGAAGCTTGGTAGACATCATCTCCCTGGATGTGTTTATTTTGCTGATGGATGGTGTCAATGCTACAAGGCAGACCTAAGAAACCAGTGTGGTATAGGTCAGGACTACTTTTAACAGATATAGTAACAGAAACCTGCAAGTCTGAATGTGGTCCCCCCAGCCTGCTTTTCATTTGAACTAGAGAGGGGCTTGCCTGAGACATTTTCTCAACTTAGTTTCTTGGGCTGAGCAAAAGCTCTGCTCATCTGACCACTCTGGGGTCTTTTCTTCTTCTTCTTCTTGTTCCAATCCAGAGGAATGTTGGGAAGAAATTATGTAAAGAAATTTGTGTATTCTGTCAGCTAGGTAACTTTCAAAAAATAGAATAGAATGGGAACAAAACTGGTATGATGGGAGAAGTTAGCAAAGCAAAGATCAAATTAAAAAATGAACTGAGTGTGGCTTGGGACCTTGGAGAAAAACATGGGCAGGGACTTGGAATGCTGCTGACTGCTCCATTCTAAGCCCACCCACCCGTGTTCTGGTCATGTGATTCCCAGTAGAGAACTGCAGCTTGCCCTGTGCTTCCCAGTGTTCACAGACAAATACATTCAGATGCATCACAAGGGGAAAGCAACCCCCCCCCCCATATTACACAGAAAAAAGACAAATACTGCCTATGGCTACTGCTGGGCCAGGGTTAAAAAGAATTCCAGAAACCAATCTGTGTGTGTTTTCCTTACCTTGTTGAATTTTTACAGAATGTTGACACATACAGAGCTCTTCTTGAGAATGAACTGCATCCTACCAGATATAGCACGTAACAAATGTAACAAACTCAGATGCGTAAAATTCTACTGTAATACTAAGCATGGATTTAAGATTGGAAAGAGCTGAAGATGGACACAGCCTTCTTACTCTGCCCTTCTTCAGATCACGTGTTGGGCTACAGTTCCTAACAATGAGCACAAACTCACATGGAACAAAAAATCTGTCCTGATCCTGGGCCAAGCATGTTCTTGTTGCCTAAAATGAATGGAAATGGCATTCGGAGACATGGCCCACCTCTGCCCCCACTCCTATGTAGTGAGGAAGGTGGGCATGGGGGAGATTAGGGGGTAATAGGTTGATCGGCCGGAGCAGCTGAAAGGGAGGGAAGAAGGGGAGGAAGAAAGGGGCTGGAAAATCCTGAGTTGAGTCAATAGGATATGCCATGTTGGAACATAAGCAGCAGTTGAAGGAAATATTGGGAATATTAGGGGGCTGATGGGGAGTGCCACACAGGGAGCCATGCATCAACCTCATGGTCCCCTTGCTTCAGCTACTTTCAATGTCCTTAGTATTTTCCCTGCTCTTCTCCTCCATTCACCCCCCAGGGCAAACAGAATAGCAAGAAACATGGATTAAACCAGCAATGTTTTGGTTTTGTCATAGGACACAGCTCATGCATACATAGAACATTTTGTACATCTCTCATTCAAACCCTTGTCCAGATTACTTTTGGGGAATTATAAAATTTAGACAAGTTGCTGCCTTCCCTTATGATCTAAAGGATGCATTTTCTCTAAAACTTCTAAACTTGCTTTAATCTGATCACTTTTGGTCGGAAAATGGAGCCACTTCAATCCCTTGACACAATGCTACCTCTTCTGCTACCTTCTCACCTTAGAAGCATACATGGACCTGCAGAAGTATTATTGTACAGGTATCTGAAGTTTGTGTGAGGAACCCCTCCTACCCAACTTTCTTTTGGTGGTTTTTAATGATGCAGTACAATTCCCAACAAATGTAGAATTGCATTAACACATTTAGCCTATGATTAAACTTGAACAGCTGACTAACTGGCTTACTGTATCAATGGAGTGGTAATGACTGGAACCACACAGCTTTATTTCATGTGGTCACATGGGCCATGGCATACACACACACACACACACGCACGCATGCATGCTCGACCCAAGATTTGTTTCAGGGAGTGGC